AAGAAAAAAGGGCCGTTAAAAGGCCCCCAGCCGAACCTGGGCCGAATCGGGGTGTGGGGTTGTGGGTGGGGTGGGTGGTAAAATAAGGTCGCTGTCGACCCCCTTTTGGGCGCCTAATACGACAAGAGAGCCATCACACATATAAATGGAAAAAAAGTGCACAACAACAGCAGGCGGAACGGGGGTGTGTGTGCCGTGGCTGGCGGCTCGCGGGCGACCGGACGGGGGCTACAGGCAGAGGCTGGCGTCGCCAGCTACCATTGACACTGAGCAGCGGCGGGAGAGGCAGTCGGGGCAGCGAGCGGGCGTCCTGGAGCTGGCGTGAAGCGGGCGTCGAGGGCGATGAAGGGCGAAAGTCGAGGTTGAAGTTTGTCGTTGGAGCGAAAGAGGAGCTTTTGCTGTCCTGGACACGTGACCAGACTTAAGTTGATATCTACCTATATAAGATTGATACAGATTGATACAGATTGATATAAGATGATATACGATATTGATAGAAATAAATAGTATAGATAGATTAGACTACAGTTGGTAGCGGAAACCGAGCTGCAGCAGCCGGGCCTGGTGCACGTCGACGTTCTCGATCTCGGCCGTCCGCTGCAGCTTCGCCAGCTCCTTGTCCGTGAGCTGCTCGAGGCCGACGGTCTCGTAGCGGGCGAGCTCGCGGTTCTGGCGCTGCAAGTACCAGCGCAGGAAGACGACGCAGGCGGCGGCCAGCAGCTGGCAGGCAACAGCCACGCCCAGCGCCAGGCGGTAGTGCGGCTGGTCCCCGTTGCGGTAGGTAAACGGCGTCCAGATGCTGGCCGAGTTGCCCAGCGAGTTGATAAAGGCGTATGCGGCCGCTCTCTTGGCCGGCGGGCGTGGGATGGCGCTGGCGATCCAGCCGTACAGCGTGCCGTTCAGCGCAAACACAAAGATCATGAGGAAAAACGAAAAGTAGCGCGGCCCAAAGCCGTCCGTGGTCATGAAGATGATGAAGCCGACCAGCGTGATCGGGATCGGGTACATGAAGAACCAGAACCGGTTGTTGCGGCGGTCAGAGTACCACGAGTGCGCCAGGCTGTAGACCACCATGAACAGGTAGGGCGGCGCCACCAGCAGCAGCGAGATGATCTTAGAGTAGCCCAGGGTCTGCGTGAGCGTTGGAAAGAAGTTCTGGAAGCCCGAGGCGGCGGTGATGGACATGTAGGCTATCGCAATGGCGTAGGTCTTGACGTCGGTCATGGCCAGTTTGAGGCCTCGCAGCTGGCTCATCCCGCCGGGCACGTCGACGTCCGCCTCTGCCGCCTCGATGGCCAGCCGCTTGTTGGCTACGTGCTTGAGGTCGGCCGGCAGCAGCTTCCACGTATCGGGGAAGTCGGGCAGCACCACGACGATGACCAGCCCGACAGCAATGGTGATGACGCCCTCGATGATGTACAGCCATCGCCAGGCGGACAGGCCGCGCGCCCCCGCGAGACCGTTGAGTATGCCGGCCGCAATGAGACTGCCAAAGGCACCGCTGATCAGCGAGCCCGAGTAGAAGATGCTCATGCGCAGGGAGAGCTCTCGCTTCGTGTACCATTTCGACAGGTAGAAGAGCACTCCGGCGAAGAAGGGGGCCTCGACGAGCCCGAGCAGAAAGCGGCAGACGACTATCTGCTGGTACGTGTGGACGAGCGAGGTCAGGGCCGAGACGGCGCCCCAGGCCACGGTGAAGCCGCCCAGGTACAGCGACGGGCGGCCCATGTAGTTGAGCAGCAGGTTCGACGGGACCTGCATGAGGATGTAGGCGACGAACAGCACGGACAGGCCGGTCTGATACTGCGAGCCCTCGAGCCCGAGATCCGCCTCCAGTCCCTGCAATCGAGCAGCCGCATAGTTGTTTCTACCACACGCCTATCAGCATCGCGCACACACATATATAAGGGCCATAGGTAAGAATACCGGTCGATGTAGTTGAGGAGATAGACTAGGATGACTAGCGGCATGATCAGGCTATCGATCTTGCGCCGCAGCTTCTTCTCGAGCTGCAGCTCCTCGTCGCGGAGCTGCTGCAGGCCGCTGACCAGCTCCTCCTCTGTCTTGGACGCCTCCATGGCTCGCGAGTCGTCTCTATCTTCGCCCTCGTCGGCTTCAGGCGTCAGGCTTCAGGCTTCAGCAGGCCAGGATAGGATCCAAGGAGCGTCCGTCGAGCAAGGTTGAGCCGTCCACAGCATCCAACGTCCAACGTCCAACATCCAAACATCCAACTGGATCTCTAGCTAGGCCCTTATTCCTCTTTATATATCCTGCATTCCAGGGACTCGAGCTAGTGGACCTCGCCTCCCAGAACCAAACAGGCGAGCGTTAAAAAAATCGGATAAAAGGTAGCGTGCCAAAGACTCATCGCGCGACCAAAACGCAATGTCTGTTCCCCATGGGGTATGCAGACGGCCGGCAAGCAAGCAAGGGATTAGAATTAGGGATTAGGAAGCAACGTGAAGTCGATCGGGGCCGGGGATGAGCCCGTCGAGCCGTCGGCTGCTGGCTGTGGGACGGGATGGTGGTGGATGGGCGGTTGCCGCTTCATGTATATAGCGTGGGTTTGACGAGGAGCTTTTGAGAGGAGGTTCGGTTACAGGTAGGACGCTGTGACGGTGGCAATCTCGTCTTATTTTTACCTCCACCTGGTGCCAGGCCAAGCAAGTAGTGGGAAGTCAAGTCCAGGGCTATTGAAAGTCTTTCCTGCGTGGTTGACAGCGGATGACAGACGTTAGTATGTATATCATTGTATCTACGGAGTACAGTGGGGCTTTTGAGAAGTAGAAAAACAGTAGAAGAAAAGAGTGTAAGTGTTGATTATAAGATATAAATATATGAAGATTATGCATTAACTCAAGATAGAACTACCAATACACGCAAAAGCTCCATCCGTAGACCGTCAATCCAGCACATAATCTCAGCCACCAGCGTCCCCAGTCGACTGTTTACAGCAAAAGGGCAGCGAGACCGAGGAGACCGGCGAGACCGGCTCCAGCACCGACAGCGGCGTGCGAGGCAGCGCCGGTGTAAGTTGGCAGAGGAGCGGTCATGACGCCGGTGCCGCTGGCAGTGCCCATGGGAGGAGCCTGGGCAGTCGAGTTGGGGTAGGTTGGTGGTGTGTAGACGGAGGTGCTGCCGCCGGTGGGAGATGGAACTGGGACGGGGCCGCCGGTTCCAGGGATACCGCCGGTAGGAGCGCTGGTAGGAGCAGCGGTGGTTGGGCTGTAGAAGTGTAGAAGTTAGTATACTCTATCTATCTATATATGTATATGTATGTATGTATATATCAAGTTCGCAAACGTACCAGGAGCTGCACTCGGTGGTGGTGGAAGAGGTGAGAGTGCGGGTGATGGTGCAGGGCTCGGTGAAGGTGACGGTGCCGGGCGCGGTCATGGTGTAGGTCTGGGTGCCGTAGGTGAAAGAGGTTGGCTCCGAGCAGTAGGTCTCGTAGTTAGTCAAGACCTCGGTGACAACGTCAGGCATCGGAGAGCCGGTGTCCACGATGGAGGCAGAGGCGAGGCTGGCCATGGCGGCAGCGGCGGCGACGGAGTAGCGCATGGTGATGGCGGTGTCTTTTTGGTAGACGAGGGTTTGCTTGTGGCAGAAGAGAAGAAGCGGAGGTCGTAAGCGAAAGAGCGGACGGTCTCAAGAACCTGTAGAGAGCGACTGTGGACGACGAGGAGTGCGTTGGAGAAAAAGGAGAAGAGAAAGAGAGAGTCGCAAGAGAGCGAGACGAGAAGACGAAGTTATATAAAATAATTCAAGGAACGGCGAGAGGGCGGGCGGAACGCAGGGGGGAAAGGAAAAAGGAGTGCCTGGTACGGGCGTGTAAGCGTATCCTCCGGTACCAGCGGGTCTTTTGTTTAGATTACGCACACAAAGGCCGCAGGCCTCAAAAGGAGCAAGATCTGCGACGCATGCGAAGGGGGGAGGGACGAGAACCGCCTGCTTGCCACTAGCAGACGCCACCGCCCGCCGCTGGCATCAATCACTCTGTCACCGTCACTGTCACCGTCACTGTCACCAAAGCAGCAGCGTGTTCTCCTGTTTCGGGGCTGTCCTGCGACTCCAGTGATATTCTATGGGGTCGTCGGTTTGCAAATTCTCCTGTGCCTGGCTGCGTGTGCGCCCAGAAACGCCGGGGCACCTGCGGTGGCGCTATAGTGTAACTTACGGTATTTACGTGACGTGACCAGGCACGGTAACTTATGGGCCTGATAACTTACCGCCCACACGGCTGGCGAGGCGAGGCCGGCGGCAGCGAGGGTTCGGGATACGCAGCAGCAGAGTTGAGAGTGACAGGAGTGACAGGGAGAGAGACTGACGGCCGGCGACAGGGGGCCTGGAAGGTGAAGAACGAGATCGAGATGGAGGACTCGAGTGGGCCTCCGTCCTGCCTTTCGTCTTTTGCGCTTGTCAAGTACAGTAACTAATGATGGCCTACGGAGGTCTCTGTCTGTCCATCTGTGACTCGTCTCCTGCTGGTACAAAGGCCAGCTCAGTCCTACAGAGCAGACTAGTCGACGTCGTGGTGCCTGATCGCCATGCTGGTCTTGTCAACTGTTCTTGTGCTCTGGTTCGCTGTCAATAGTCCCGTCGATGGGTTGTTTCTAGCCGCTGTTGTGCTGGTACCTTTCGCCATGCTCAATCTACCTGACACTCGTATCGCCTGTGTGCCCTTTAATCTGCCCGCCCCCCTCAACTAAAAGAGAGAGTGTGTCCCGTCGCCAGTCCACAAGCTGCTGGTACTACCTCTTTTCAATATATCACAGGTAATAAAAGGGTGCTATCCAGTTCAAGTCCAGATATATTAGAACACACAACATTCTTGACTCCAATCAGAAGATCTCACATTGTCCCTGGAAGGATGGTGAAGATGGGGCCGGGACATGTCCACAGCACCCGCAGACGGCCTCTCCCCAAAAAGGGAAGAAGACGGCGAGTGTTGCAGCGGATGGAAAGATGCCCGCTCATCACTTTGGATTTAGTTGTGTGAAGAAGAAAGAAAAGAAAAAAGTTGAAGCCAAAGAAAAAAGAGAGAGAGAAGAAAAAGGAGGAGCGTCAAGCTGGTCACATGATTATATTAGTAAGATGAATGACTCAGTGATGAGTAGGATATGATAGTAAGCAATGAGTAATTGGATGACTAATTTATTAATAACAAGCACATGGGCCCGCGGAGTGACTAAGCCGATCTTAGTCAGCTCCGCGGGAAAGTGGGAAGTTGGAGATCCCGAAAGCGGCGACGATAGTGAGAGAGCGAAAGACCTACCTTCGACCGAGAGGCCATCGTCGTTTTTTTCCTCCTGACATTATCGCCTCCTTTTTCCAATTGTTTTTACGCTGTTGATAGAGAGATATCGAGATGTCCCTGCGGTGGGCCAGTGCCGCCAGGCGGTTCGCCGTCCCTCGTTCATTCATCAGACCCGCGCAGTTCGTCCGGTGGCAGAGCTCCACGGCTGGCAACCACAATGTACGGCAACATCCCACAGTGCCCACCCATTGAACGACGGCCAGCTTGCTAACACACGTCTAGGAGCTCGCAGAGCACTTGCAGACCACAGATCCCGAGATTTACAAGATAATACAGAATGTGCAGTCCCTTTTTTTTTGCCGTCTTAATCTACTCTAGTCAACCGGCAACAGCAAACTAACCGAACGCAGGAGAAACGCCGTCAGAAGCACTTCATCAACCTCATCCCGTCAGAGAACTTCACTAGCCAGGCAGTTCTTGATGCCCTAGGCAGTGTTATGCAGAGTTAGTATAACTATACTTGGCCGTCGCCGTTCATAGTCGTGGCCTTCTTGTGTGTTGTTTTGATGACCAGTGGCCTGACCTCGGCACAGATAAGTACTCGGAGGGTTACCCCGGAGCAAGATACTACGGCGGCAACGAGTTTATCGACCAGGCCGAACGCCTCTGCCAGGAACGAGCCCTTCAGACCTTCTCCTTGAACACCGAAGAATGGGGTGTCAATGTCCAGGGTAGGTCAATTCTCTTTTCTCTCCGGGCTATTAATATACAAGCAATCACTAACACGCAACAGCCCTCTCCGGCTCTCCGGCAAACCTCTGTGCCTACTCGGCCGTGCTCAATGTCCACGACCGTCTCATGGGCCTTGACCTTCCCCACGGTGGTCATCTCTCGCACGGATACCAGACGCCCACCAAAAAGATCTCCGCCATCTCAAAGTACTTCGAGACCGTCCCTTACCGCCTCGATGAATCCACCGGCCTCATCGACTACAACAAGCTCGCCGAGCTCGCCCTTGTCTACCGCCCCAAGCTGATTGTCGCAGGAACCTCCGCCTACAGCAGACTAATTGACTACCCTCGCATGCGCCAGATCGCAGACAGCGTCAATGCCTACCTACTCGCAGACATGGCCCATATCTCAGGCCTGGTCGCCGCCTCCGTCATCCCCTCTCCCTTCGCCCACGCCGACATCGTTACCACCACCACCCACAAATCCCTCCGCGGTCCCCGTGGCGCCATGATCTTCTTCCGTAAGGGCCTCCGCCGTACCGACTCCAAGGGCAACAAGGAACTCTACGACCTCGAGAACCCCATCAATGCCTCTGTCTTCCCAGGTCACCAGGGCGGTCCACACAACCACACCATCACCGCCCTTGCAGTAGCCCTTAAGCAGGCCCAATCCCCCGCCTTCAAAGAATACCAGACCAATGTCCTCCGCAACGCTCAAGCTCTCGCCGCCAGACTCGGCAACCCCACCTCCGCCGGCGGTCTAGGCTACAACATCGTCTCCGGCGGCACAGACAACCACCTTGTTCTCGTCGACCTTAAGAACCGAGGCGTTGACGGCGCTCGCGTTGAACGTGTTCTTGAGCTCTGCGGTGTCGCAAGTAACAAGAACACTGTCCCAGGAGATAAATCCGCCCTTAAACCCGGCGGTCTCCGCATGGGTACTCCCGCCATGACCTCCCGCGGTTTCGCCGAGGAGGACTTTGCTCGTGTGGCTGATATCGTTGATCGGGCTGTCACTATTACCCAGAAGCTTGACAAAGCTGCTCGTGCTCATGCCGAGGAGAACAAGCGTAAGAACCCCGGCAGTCTCAAGGCTTTCCATGACTTCTTGGGCGAAGGTGAGGAGGTTTCGGAGATTGTTCAGCTCAGGCAGGAAGTTGAGGACTGGGTGGGAACGTTCAGTCTGCCATGGACCGATGCCGAGTAAGTAGCGGGCCGTGAATGGTGAGTAGCCTGTTTATCATTCTTCAACGAATCATGAGCATTAAAAGAATATTTCCCTTTTGCTTTTATTTTCTCCCCCCCTTTCCCCTGTTACTCTTCTTATATATTATGTTATGTATTTCAACACTTGCTTGGCTGTTTTAATACTGCGAGAGTTGTGTTATTTCCACCTTTGAATGATATCCCTCGTATCGTCATCTACTAGAACCATAAGGATGACATCTACTCTGATTTATCTGTATCCAAAGTATTAAACATAATAAACAGAACTGTGTATACCATTAATTCGTCATACCAGGCCATTCTGCATGTAGTATGTTAGCTATATCCGCTGCTCTTATAGAGTAGACAGGAAACTCACCTAGGGTAGTACGCTCAGCATTAATCTTAGACACCTTTACAGCATCACCAACTCGAATAACTGCCTCACCACCCTCTGCTTCCCGATGCAGGAATCCATACCGTCCAAAAACAGGACTATACTTTGCCCCCATATCAACACGTCTATCCTTCATGAGCTTCTTGAGAACTGTGCCCGCCTCTCCCTTGTGCGGCGCCCCGGTATCAAAGTCAACATTAACACTCACGCAACGCACACAGTTATTCCTAAGCTGCACCGTCACACTCTCTCCGATAATCAATTCAGCCCAATAATCCTCCTCAAATGCTGTTGAAGCACCAGCTAGTACAATGTTGGGTCTGAATTTAGTCACGTCCATCGGTTCCCCCGGTGGTAGGCGAAAAGATACATCGTCAACGGATGTCTGTGACACAACAAGATAAGGCGCCATATCAGCGAAGGTAAGTACCTTTGACGCATCTTTTGGTCCCGCCAGCCCAGGTATGGGTACGGGTATCATGCTGGAGATAGTAGACATCCATCCACCATTCATACCGGGCGAGGCAAAGTTGCCCAAAGCTAATCGTCGATGTTCACCGATATACGCAAACACCACCTTGAAGCCTAGCCAGGCGGAGAACCAACTATTATACTCGACCCCCATGTCATATGCCGTTGTCAGGCTACGGTGCATCATCACCTCGAAGCGTTTTAGATTACTCGTCTCTGGCTTCAGGGGTATGCGCAGTGCATTTCCAACCCCCGACTCGGGGTGTGGACTGGATGAGTTCTTGTAAGTGACTGTTATCCAGCCTTTCGCATCCTTGGCGTTCCCGTTGGCTTTTCCTCCATTCGTGTGATCTGCTGAGGCTGGAAACTCAATATCAGTCAGGAAGAGAGATAGTTGCGGGAACTTGTCGATGTGCATGTTCTGCAGTTGGCCGTCTGGTTTAACCTTCAGCAGCATGAAGGTTCTGTCGTAAGGCAAGCCATCGCAAGTCAATTTCGCCGAGCTCAGCGTCGTAGGACGCATCGACTTGATAGGGTAGACATATATCTACTTGTTGCTCTGGTTGTCAGAGAGATAATTCCAACCACATATGCTAATGTGGTTACAGAGCCATGCACATACCTGTGAGACTTTCATCCTGATAACGTTAACCGCCTGCGCAGCAGTTAGATAATTAAAATCCTTCGAGCCGCAGCAGTAAGAGGATGAGGATGAAAGTTCAAGCGATTCAGCCTGGCATCTCCCGAGTCATTTTATATCGGCCACTTATCTATAGAGCAGATCCATTTGGGCGGAGTATGAATCGAACAAAGGAAAGTTGGAAGGGCGTGGATATCGATCTGGGGTTCCGGCGGTTAAAGCGGCAGGGCGGGTCCCATTATATTTACGCGCACTAACATGAGCATCTTTCCATATTAGGAGCACTATACCGCATATAGGCATTGCAAGTGGGTCTCACGACAATTGAGCCGTGCCGTTTTATCGCACTCGACATAGACAAGGTGTTGATGCCTACTTAGAGTAATTCATCAATATACAACATAAAATGGCCTAATATTAGATATGGTAGTTCTCGTGATATCCCACCAATCCAAAGTGGCTGACTGCGTGAATTGCGAGCGTCTCAAGTCGGAGTTTGATGAAGCAAAAATAGAAGTAAATTAGAGTTTCGGAGGCTCGAAAAAAGGCTGAGATTAGTCATTTAAATATCTTGGCATAGATTATATAATACATTACGAGGACTTCAGAATATTAAGAATTTACGATAAACAAAACCACTTCAGGCGCAGCATTTATAGCATTATTTAGGATTTACAGACCTCTTTTAGGATTAGGTCTTTGCCCTAGCGGCTGTACAGGCTAAAGCCTATCAAGGTTTATCTTTCTTCTCTTTTCTTGTCCAAAAATAAATCCAAGAGTCGCCTGGGAAATGGCAGGGTATTGGAGTGAAGACAAGCCTGCTCAATGAATCTACAAACCTCGCTTTGATGATCATAACAAGCTTGGGAATTGACTCCAGCCATCATGACTCGATTAACCTGTGGTAACAATAGGGAAGGCCGACACCGTCGGAGATGATGCCTATTCATTCACAGTTTTTGGTTTGGCTGCACAGAGAACTCGCCTTGCGACCCCCACTGCGAAAAATAGCGAACCCACGACTATGTAACGTCAAGTTGCTGTCAATATCGACATAACCAAGAGCTTGTAACTTCTTCCTGCATTCCTTCCATTGAATGAATGGTACAGTCGCTTTGACAGAGTTCGAGTGAGCAAGAATGAATGACGATCTAACATATGCTGAGAGAAAAGGAGGAGGTGTGAAAGTAAAGCAATGTTAAGGATTGACAGAAAGCCGACAAAAAACTACCATTTGACTTGACACCAGCGGTGACAAGTCAAGGGAACATTTAAGGGATCAACATAAATGGAAAGTGGTGAGGTTCATATGATTATGCCTACTATGAACAGGGAACTAGGTTCAGCGCCCCTGAGAACCACCCTCTTGGCCCCATATGTCCGACCACTTCCATCAATTTGTTGGTCAGATGGAGAGAATGTGAAGAACAGCAGGATGAAGAAGACTGAATACGCCGGGTTTCATGAAGGCACTGATGAATGGACCGAAAGACCAGATGTGAAGGCTCCCCCGGCCCCTCCTTTCCTCCGATGCTAAGCAAAAAGCAACCATGATCTAGAAATTGAGGACGAACCATTGTCCCCCCCAATCCTGCAGCTTCCATCGGGTAGATATCAGCTCCAATTCGCTGGTCAGGGGCTCCCCCGACGGTGTGGCTTGCAGAAGCTGAACTGAGGGTCCAGAGACAGACTGTGTACCGAATTGCATGGTGATTAGCTAGCCTTGTTGGATAAAATTGTTGTCACACTACCACCTATTGAAGAAAAGTTAGGCCACTGACTTGAGCAGCCTTCCTTTAGGTCCATGTTTATTGGTTGCTAAAGATGCGAGATACCAGCTACAGATTGTGGTGGGTAGGCAACCCCAGCTTTCTTGAACAGCTAGGAGTGGAATGCTGCGCTGCAAGCTGAAGACCATGTCTGATTTCTCGTTTTTTTCTTTTTTCCTCTCGCGGCGGCTGAGAAGCCCTGGACTGGACGCAAGGCGGATGGCGGCCGCTATCCTAATCCAGCTGGAGGTTTTGCTGTCTGAATGTCTGAGGGCATATGAATATAAAGCCGTAAACCCACCCGCTCGACTTTATCTTGATACCAGAACACACCGACATCTGCGGGTGTATAACCGGAACAAAAATTTTCAAGATGGCTACTGTTGATGAAGCGACGGAGACACCGGACGTCAAGAAACCTGGCCGCCGGCTGGTGCTCTGCTTTGACGGCACAGGAAACCACTTCAAGGGCAATGAATCGGACTCCAATGTTGTAAAGCTCTATCAGATGCTAGATAGGCACGACAAGCGGCAGTTCCACTACTATCAACGTGGGTTCAACCCTAACACCATGTTAATATTATCCCCGTCGCTAACAGGCTATAGCCGGCATTGGAACATTCAACGTGAACATGTCCGACAGCGTAACCATATTCGGGCGCATGCGCTCCAAGATCAATGAAATCATCGACAAAGCCATAGGTACATCCTTTGAATACCATGTTTCCAGCGGATACCGGTTCTTGATGCGTTACTACAAGCCCGGAGATGACATATATATCTTTGGCTTTTCGCGAGGTGCCTACACGGCCCGTTTCCTAGCCGAGATGATAGAACATGTCGGCTTACTTTCCATGGGTAACGAGGATATGATTCGATTCGTGTATGGAGCATTCAGCAAGTGGCAAACCATTCGGGGAAAGGCGAATAAAAGGCCCAAGGATGTTGAGCTAGAGGATTACCTGCAGAAGCTGAAGGTGACATTCTGCCGTAAGGAGGTCGGCATCTTCTTCTTGGGACTGTTCGACTGCGTCAACAGCGTCTCAACCCTTGAAATCCCGTTCTCCCGCAGGGAATACAGATATTGCGCGCCAGTGAGTTCCTACCATCTTTCTTTTGTCTGATGGTATGTGTAATATTAACAAACGACAAACAGTCACCAGCGAAACATGTCCGCCATGCTTTGTCAATCCACGAGCGACGTCTCAAGTTCAAGCCAGCCCTCTTCACCTTTGAATCAGAGGACAGAGAAGCTTCAGTCAAGGAGGTGTGGTTTGCGGGTAACCACTCTGATGTCGGCGGTGGTTTTGCCTATGAGAACAATGCCCGCTTCCTTTTGTCTGATATCCCCCTCGCCTGGATGCTGGAGGAAGCCCTGTCTGTCACAGACGCTCCAGCCGGGCCCTTGACCTTTGACGATCAGCACCCCGAAGCCTTGAACCGGCTCAAGTCTATCGAAGCTATCCTCGACAGTGAGGGTGAACCCAGGGTTGCTGGCGCCTCAGGGGTTGTGCCTGAGGCGGAAGTGAGCCACTTCAGACACCACGACTCTCTCATCATCGGTCGCGGCGCGGAGTGGCATATGACCATCATCTGGTGGTTCATGGGTACGCTCTTCCTCACCTCCTCTTTACTTCCGTATATATAAGTATCGAATGACTGACTGATTTACCAGAACTGTTGCCAATCTTCACACGTCTCGAGCTGGAAAACCACCAGTGGAAGCCTCGGTACTGGCCCCCCAACTGCGGTGCTCACAGAGACATCCCGACCGAAGCAACACTGCATCACACCGTCGAGAAGATGCACAAGGCAGGCATACTAAAGAAGATGCCAAAGATGGGAGGCGACAAGGCGCCGCTACTGAACGACCCCCTGATTGTGCCGCGGTATATCGGCAAGCTGCTGACGTTTTGGAGATGATTACGAGCGACGCATCCTAGAAACGACCAATACAATGACCCCGGGGGTCCTACATATAATGTTAATATTTTCTATTTCCTTAGCAGGCTTGTTTGTGGTCCTTTTTCCCCCCCCTGTTCTTCTATGATATCCTGTGGCAATGACTTTATGCTTATGGGCCGCTGGCAGAGACGGCTGCCCTGAACCAGACCCATCTATATCTCCATATTAAATAGCTATATAACTAATATTTCCTCTGCCTTGCTGTCTGCATCTTCGTCCGCCGAATAAGTATTATATTCCTCTCGCTTCTACGTAGTCCACCGCGGCGTGATCTGTACCACCTGCTGACGGCGCCCTCAGCCGGCTGTGCAACCGCCGGGCGAGAACAATCTTCTAGGTTGTTCAAGTCAACTGATTTTAAGTAGTTTGCCTGGTTAGTCAGTACATCAGTCCCGCCGTCAAGGCAACTTCCAACATCTGCACCAGCGACATCAGATCACCTCCACCGGCATCATCCAGACTGCGACTCGACTCTGGCATCACCACCAACGCTTCAGCTTCATCGTCTTGTCGTCTCCATCTTCGCTTCGGATACCGACGTCATCCCTTGCTTGGCTCTGTCGCCACAAACAAAAAATCATTGAGACATCGCCAGCTGAGCGGCCGCGTTTTTGTACCCGAACTGCCTTACGCTTACCACCCCTTTCCAGCCCGCCCCAGCGCTATCTCACTTGCTCCAAACGACCGTAAACCGCCTCGAGGACGACCCGCGACTCTCGCCTTCTGACCGACAACCAGCTATAACCTGTTCTGAAGACGCCGCATCTTGCGCGCAGCTTCCGACGGATCCCTAGACCGAGACAAGCAAGGCAGCGGCGAAATCCACATTTAATATATTTTTGTTATCACACAACAAAGGCAAAAGCGAGACGTTCTAAAAGGCAGTGCGCATTCCTCTTGTTGACTGCTGGTTGAGACAGACGGCCAGGAGAGCGTGCCGTGCTATTTGCGCCGGCAACCCGTAGCCATGGAGTCCTCTGGCCTGCGTCGGAAGGACACCACCAAAGGACCTCCTTTACGAATACTCTCACTGGGTAAGCTTTCATTCCTTTTTTTCCCTTTCAGCCTCATAAAGGGCTATAGGGAATATAAATGCTAACGGGAGGTAGATGGCGGCGGGGTGAGAGGATACTCTATGCTTATCATATTGCAAGAGCTGATGTACCGGACCTACGTTGAATGCGAAGGAAAGGCCCCCCGCCGCGACCAGATTCCCAAACCATGCGAACATTTTGACCTGATAGCCGGCACGGGCACCGGCGGACTGATCGCCTTGATGCTGGGCCGGCTGCGCATGGACATCGAGACTTGCAAAGAGGTGTACATCCGGATGACCCGGCGGGTGTTTGAGACAGACAAGACAATAGCCGGTATACCGTACCGCACGACGCTGTTCAAGGCTTCAAAGCTGGAGGAGGCGATAAAGCAATGTGTGCGGGACCATACAGTGGACGAAGAAGAGGGAAACGACGGCACAACGGCGACGAGTGCGAATCCCTTTATGCGGAGTGCGTCAACGGCGACACTGCAGCGACGGTTGAGCCGGTCGAGTGTCAGTACGACGAATACGTCTGTGCCTTCGTCACCGGTGACCAGCCAGACGCTGACGGTGGGCGGGGGCCAGGTATGGGGGGATCCAAATGCGAAGCTCTACGACAACCGGGAGAACCGCACCAAGACGTAGGTGTATTTTCATATTTACATCGGTATATTGCATAGCTAACTTTCTGCAGTGCGGTAACGGCTGTGTATAAGGGGACACCGAAGACCGGGACATCAATACTCCTACGGTCCTATGACTCACGGCGAGAACCACCGCCGGAGTTCAACTGCACGATCTGGCAGGCTGGACGTGCGACTGCTGCCACGGGACTGGCCTTCAAGCCCATCCAGATCGGTCAACACATCTTCCTGGACGAAGGGGCCGGCAAATACAACCCCAGCCCGCAGATACTGGACGAAGCCGTAGTAAATGAGTGGCCTGGGCGTGAGGTTGGGGCGTTTATCAGTATAGGAACAGGCAAACGGCCGCAGGGCGCGACATCGCCGCCGCACGAGTGGTGGGAGGATGTCTTCCGGGACTCGCTAGGCAACTTTGCAGAGGCACGACGACGGCTGATAGCAAAGATCGAGGGCTGTGAGGCGACGCACCAGTTCATGGTGAAGGACCATCTGGTCAAACGCAATGTGCCCCGAGAGGTGTACTACCGGTTCAACGTCGAGGTCGGCGTGGGCGAGTTTGGGATGAACGAATGGAGCCGGCTGGCGGAAATCAGCACCAACACACGCATGTACCTGGCGAAGAATGAGGTGCAACGGATGAACTACGATGCCGCAGTGAGGCTGGCTCGAGTCGACCGTATGCACAAGAGGTTAGGGGGGAGGTCCGGGGTACCGTTGGCAGCAACAAACGAGGCCCTGGAGGAGCGTAAGAACCAGCCGGTGCCTCCTATTCCACCACTGAAGCAAAAAGAAGAAGCCGTCGATGAGAACATCTTTGAACTGCCTGCCATCGAGCTGCCGGCCGAAGAGCATCTCCAGCAGAACCGGACTCCAATCCAGAGCCAGGGCCAGAGCCATCATCGGCCAGGCACGTCACAGAGCTCGACGGCCATCAGCTTCAGTTCGTACGACGACAAGTTCGCCGTCCTACCTGGTAATGATGACGGACGAGACCTACCGGAGCCCGTCTATGCGTCTGCCGGCCGTCGCAGCTCAGATGTGCTCCCTATCTCGCCAGCTCGACGCAGTCAAGATAGCCACAGTCGACACCAGCCCTCGTCGTCCATCGACTCGTCGACCCGAGCGAGCAGTCTGGACGCTCACTCACGCCCTGCCGCGGGACCACCGCCGACAGGACCACCACCGCCCTTACCACCCAAGACACCCATCCCGTATCCTGTCAGCAGTGAGGACGTCGCCCCAGGCGCAGTGTCGATGCCCTCGTTGCCGCCGCGCAACCCAGACAGACCAGTCTCTATCGTGGGACCGCCGCGGAAGTACAAGCTACCGTACCCAGACGATGGTCCGCCACCGGTCAACCGCACGCGGAAGCCTACCTACCTCAACTCTAGTTAAAGGGAAGCAAAGAAAGCAAAAAAGAGGTAACGAGTTATGCGTCTCCTTGTACATGTCTGTCTATGTCTGTCATGTTTGTCACGTTTATATCTATATTAATATCTGACAGCCATGTCTGTCTATCAAACTCCTGCCACTACTGCTTCTACTATTACTTCTACTACTTCTTCTACTATTACTTCTACTTCTACTGCTAGTCATTGGCTCCCCTGGTCTTCCTTGAGTTCGTGCCGTCTTCGTTGGTTGGCAGGGAGCCCGTCTCTTGGTCCTGCAGGTCAAACCTGTCTTGTGCTACTTAATACGAGATCTCTTCTCCGTCTCCCATCTCGTTCTTCTTCATCTGCTCCGTCTTGCAGTCTATCTTACTCTGCTTCTCCCTGTCTATCTCGCTGTCCGTCTGCTTCGTCCCTGCCTGCGCCTTTTCTGCGTGGCGTCGACGTCAAGCCTTAGTAAGCCCCTGACTCTCCTCTTTTACTTAAAGCTGTCAACTAACCTTTAACTAACCTTTAACTAACCTTTAACGAAGTCTTTAACTGGCTTTAACTAACCCGCCGCCGCCCGCTAAACCAGCCACTTCGCCCTCGCTCTCCACTATCCGCCCCTTCGTCCTCCCCCCTGGCCGTTAATCACTCAGTTTTTCTCTCTCTCTCGCAATTCGACGCCGACCTCATCGTCCTCAACCTCCGTCTGCTTCTCGGATGGACGACTGACCGTCGACTGGATCTCTGAGCCGCCGCGACCGACCTGACGGCAGCATCATCGCCTCTCGACCGTCGTCTCCTCCGGCTTCCCTGGCCCCTGGTCCCTGGCTGCTGGTACTCTCCGTCTGGTACTCCGTACCTGTGGCCCCGACCACCAACCAGCCACACCTCGATTCCCTCGGCGGTTAAACGTCAACATAAACAACATCGCCATAACAACGCCAGACAGACACCGCCAGACGGCCCAGATAGACAGCCGGACGGACTCAACATAGATATCAGACTCACGTCGACGCCACGGAGCATGTTCGATGAGGCCGTCCTGGCCGCTCGCTCCGGCGGCAGCCCCCTGGGCTCTCCCAGCTCGCGCCCGCCAGCGTTCAAGGCCGTGGGCATCACCCTCGCCGTCTGCTCTGGCCTCTTCATCGGCATCTCCTTCGTGCTGAAGAAGGTCGGCCTGCTCAAGGCGAACGTCAAGTACAACGAGGAGGCCGGCGAGGGCTACGGATACCTCAAGAACTTCTACTGGTGGGCAGGCATGACGCTGATGATCCTTGGAGAACTCTGCAACTTCGTCGCCTACGCCTTTGTCGATGCCATCCTCGTCACTCCCCTGGGTGCCCTGTCCGTCGTCGTGACTACTATCTTGTCTGCCATCTTCCTCAAGGAGCGGCTCAGTTTCGTGGGCAAAGTTGGCTGCGTCAATTGCATTATCGGCTCGGTCATCATCGCCATGAACGCTCCCACGCAGTCGTCCGTGGCCAATATCCAGGACATGCGGCACTACGTCATCACACCTGGCTTTCTCTCCTTTGCCGGCGTCATCATCGTCGTCTCTGCCTTTCTGGCCATCTGGGCAGGTCCCCGGTACGGCAAGAAGAGCATGTTCGTCTACCTGACCATCTGCAGTTTGACGGGCGGCCTCAGCGTCGTTGCTACTCAGGGGCTCGGAGCAGCCATCATTGCTCAGATCATGGGCACCCCCCAGTTCAAGGAATGGTTTCTCTGGGTCCTCCTGGTCTTCATTGTTGCGACACTGCTCACTGAGATCATCTATCTAAACGTATGTTGGACACACCTACTCGCTTTCCCGCTCCTCACATTTATTTCATTTCCCGCTATCCTACCATATTTATTATGGCTGTTTCAGCTAACGGCAAATAGAAAGCACTTAATCTCTTCAATGCGGCCATGGTTACCCCTACATACTACGTCATCTTCACCAGTGCCTGTATCGTCACCTCGGCCGTCCTGTTCCAGGGTTTCAAGGGTACCGTTATCAGCATCACCACAGTCGTCATGGGCTTCCTCCAGATCTGTACTGGCGTCGTCCTCCTCCAGCTGTCTAAGTCGGCCAAGGACGTCCCCGATGCCGCCGTATTCAAGGGTGATCTCGACCAGGTCCGTGAGGTTGCTGAGCAGGAAGAAGGAGAGCTGGAACCAAAGGCCGATGCCATCAGAGGAACCGCTGCCATCATCCGCCGTATCTCGACCCCCCGTCAGAAGATGGAACAAGAGGAAATTAGACGCTTCCACATGGACCAGAGGCTTGATGAGCTCGAGCCCGTTGGTGAAAACGAAATCATCGAGTGGGACGGCCTCCGCAGACGACGGACTACTTTGGTCAACGGTGTACCTGCTACCAGTCCCCGTCGTAGGGTCCAGCACCCTCCACTCGGCATGTCTCGTTTCCCAGACTACTCTGAACCCGAAGTCAGGACTCCCCGAGAAGGTCTCGATGGCTCTTTTATTGGCAGCATTCGCAAGCGTGCTTCGACTGCTTTACATCCCTACTGGCGGCCGAGTGGAACCATATCTCCCCAGCCGATGGAAAAGGACGGCCGTCTCGACTCTCCCAAGTCGATGCCTGAACGGCCCTCCGAATCTGACCCTTTCACTCGTCATGAGCTGCTTCAGGCGTTCCAGTACAACAAGGCCATGCGTCGTCCACGCAGCGAGACTATTGACTCCGTGATCAACGAAAAGTCAAGAAGGGAAGAGAAAGCACCCCTCTTCGACGGCAGCAACGACAGCTCCAACGCCAACGGTAACGGAGATTCCAAGGAAAAAGCAGAGTCTACTAGTCCTCCTCCAACGCCTCCTGCACATAGAGCCCATCGACAGTTCTCCTTCAACGTCTTCCGACGCAACTCTTCGTCCGCTCCGCCGGCAGAGCGCCTGACAACCCCTACAAAGACACCACACTTGCATCTTCCTCACTTTATATCCCACCACTCCCACCCCAGCAGCAGCTCCAAGCCTACCACTACCGAGGAAGAAGCCCTCGGCCTCTCTTCGGGGGATAAGGGCAAGACCCGGTCCCCTTCACCACAAGCCAAAGCTCCTTCCCGTCCAGAAAAGATTACCCGACACTCCCACGGAAACTCCTCAGAGTCCCTCCGTCATGTCCTTTCCGCCTCGTCTTCTTCGGCTGGTGAATCTTCCAGTACTCCTTCGCCATCTCAATCCCAGTCTCAGTCCGTCCAGCACACCGAACAACTTACCCGTCCATTAACTGGAACATCCGAGCAAGACCATCGAGACATCGGCCCATCAGATTCAACATGTTCATTCCCCAAGTTCGATCCTTCAACATTCCCGCATTCAGCAATGACTTCATCCCCCGAAGAAGCTAGGAGAGGCCGTAAGGAACGAAGAGGGAACGTCAGACAAAGCTATGACAGTTCCCGTGGCGATTCCCAAGGCACCAAAAAGGAAGACAGAAATCCAAGCAAGAAATGAAAATACCATCACCACCATGTTGACGAAGAATAAATTGCATTCTTTTCGATTCTGGTTGCATCGATAGACCAACCCGCGTCTTTTCTACCGGCGTTAACTTGTTTTAATATACTGTTGTTCGCTCGCAACACTTTCTTGACTGGCCGTTCCATCGACAACGGCCAACTTGCTGCACAGTTTGCCCCATTCGTTTATCATATATTCACCTTGCAAAATATACGGAGTATATAGGGAAAGCCATCAATGCACGGCTCGGCGTGGCCTCTGGTCTTTGTTATTTGTGAATCTGTTACTTCTTCTTCTTCTTTTTACTCGTTGTTGCTGCTGCTGTTGTCACTTACTTGTTTATATTTTGCCTGCCTTGCTTGCTATGGAACATCGGCAGCTTGGGCCTTTTAATGTATGCATTTGCTTTACTTTTGCTTTGCTTGGCTTGCCTCTCTATCTCTCTTATCTTTCCCTGGACACATACTATCCAGTGGAGAAATGAGAAGAGAAGAAAACCACCTTTAATCGTTTTTGTTATTCTTGTTTGCGTGCCACCATTGTTGATGGGGTGACTTGAGTTTCGTCTACCTTGATTGATATTTGCAACTTCGACCATTTTTGGGTTGCGTTTATTGTCTTGCTTGTCTGAGTGGGTGGGTGGCTTGCTGAATAACTAATGATAATGACCATGATATTGTCTCTCGGGCGGCGATGTGTTCGGGCCACGCAATGATCGAACAGACTGATCAACTGCTAAAACCAAAGAAAGAATGATGCATACATAGTACATAGATAAATGTCGAGTCTATTTGATCATGAAATCTAATACACTTCTCTGCTTTTTCGATGCAAGAAGCACGCTAGCGAACTTCGCTTCGGGCAACCTGCAGCCGGCCTTGATACTCTCGAGTACCCTGATAATCAGATAAACGTCAGCAGGCAGGTACTTTATCCACGAAACAATGCAATAAGCCAGGTAAAGGGAATACTCGCCACTCAACCCCAACGAATTTAACCCCCATGCCGCTAACACGGCTTATCTCTCGCTGCATTTTGCCGGCTGCAAGTCCTCCACCGGCCCCGGGCTGCGAATTCCTGGCAGCCTTACCTGCACCGCCACTCTCGACCTCACCCGCCCCATTTGGATCACCGAGGATGACGTGCGTCACACTCCGCCTGGCAAGGCCAATTGATATCTTCGCTCCATGGTCTACCAGCATATTTTTCAACTTATGGTCTGATATCAGTGGCATGGTGGAACCATTGATATATATCGTCAGGTTAGCGAATATACGCTTATCCTTGTCTGCATGGGTATCATTAACTTCGTAACTCTTATAATTCATACCTGAATTATCCGTGTAGTTTAGTTTAGTTAGTTAGTTCCCACCTTGCTGTTTTATGAAGATCACGGGGAAACAGTGCATTGTGGCTGTTACAAAAAACTTACTCGTACGATCGTACCGTTCATCGAAGCATACCGCCCCCTTGCTTTGCTCCAAGCTCATTACCGGCAGATCATCACCAGCCACTTGTCCATGTTCATGGTTATGTTCATGCTGCTCTCCCTGCATCAGCTTCAAGCGCTTGGTCACTTCGGACTTTCCACTGACTTCATCCCCAGCCCTCCTTTTGCCCGTGCTCATGAAACGACGTATATCCCCGTTCCCAGCATTCAGTCGACCGAGTTTCTTCCGCCCTTGCTTGTCGAGCCATGCCCACTCACTATGGATGGCTTTGGGGCTACTACCATACTGAGCAGATAGTTTCTGGCTGCGTACCTGGGTCCAGCCGGAGGAACTGGATTGCTTCTTTTCTGCACGTTGGTGGCCTGTTGAGACGGAGTTCTAGGCGTCGAATGTTTCGAGTGCGGCGTCGGATGGCGTGGTGAGTATCTGGCGTAGGGAGGGGGTTATTTTGGTATCCTTGTTGGGCATACTGCATGTCAATTGTTGATGTAATAGACTTCTTTGCCAGGTCTCCCTCCTCTTAGCACCCCTGGCCTCTTCTAGTACCTCTTTTTGATATCGAATCGAAGTCGGCGAGTTGTTTATTGTCCGAAAAAAGTTTAGCGCGGCGGGAAGCAAGGATCACTTGCAGCTCACGTGATATGAGCCTCCTTTGAAGTTTCTTACGTAATATGAAGTAAGACGACGATAATAGATATATGGATATAGATAGAAGGTCAAGAGAGTACGAAATTAAGATTTAAAAAATAACATAATCTGGCTACTGCTACCCTTGTTGGATCGATCCCTAGGGTCATACTCGTAGTTCCAAAATGTACCGACTAGAGAAGGACAGGAGCAAAAGTAGGAAATTCGTGTCATATCTGGGTCATTAGAAACGAAACGAAAATCAACAGGAGAAAGTTTTTTGGGGGGAGATTTTAAAGATGTGGCAAGGACACAACAGACAGAGATAAAGCGAGTAGCGGGAAATAAGCACAGAGAAAAGCAACAAAGGAATTGAATAGAAAAAGTCAATCAAATCAGCGAATTGTATAAAAGGGAACTGTAGAGAAGTGAATGAAAAGAAGAATAAAAAGCCATTGCTGTCAGCTAGCTTGGGGGAGTCGCGTCAAACACATCAAACCACATGTAAACATTCAACTTTAGGTACCAGCAACGTAAAACATGACGCAGATAATTACTCCGAACCCACTTAAGGAAAGGAAGTGGAGAGCAGGTGGACAGGTAAGTAGATTTGATGTGTCATTGGGAAGGGGATATCAGGTTCAGGGATCATTATAAAAACACATGTAACACGTTTGCTAGAGTAGGAGTGTAAAATGCCCCCTGCTTGGGCCAAGAGTGGGTGCGGTTCGAGGGAAGCAGGTAAGTAGGTAGGAGGGATCGAGTATTCCGCTCCTAAGACGAAAACAGTTGCAATGGCCGGCTGTAGAAGTAGAAGAAGATAAATAAAAAAAAAATCAAAAGAATCACAAAAACTCCTGATGCAAGAGAAGAAGCAGAAGTAACAGCAAAAAGATATGAAAAAGAGATATTCGACTGGGAAAGCAGAGAATGCCTCCCATTCTTTGAAACAGGGTTGTTCGGAAAGGATATGCACATTTCCTTGGGATACCGAGAGTAAGGAAGAGCAGGCGCTTTTGCCACAAAGAAAAAGGACGGACTGGTCGACGGGCTGAAAAGTTTGGGACGAACTCGATGTATTCGCTGATTGACGATGACGATGGCGCTGACGAGAAAAACAACATTTGCTTAAAAGGGAAAAAAGCATGCAGCGGACATTTGCATGGATAGACAGGGCGGTAAACACTCGCTTTCGTTAATCGGTCGTTAAGGTAAAGGAATATAAGTTTTTAAACGCAGCATTTTGGTTCTTTTTCTTTATTTTTTTGGCCTCGCAAAGCGGGCTGATTTATAAGTTTTTTGCGGGATATTTTGCTCGTTATTCGTTTAAAGGCGCGGAGGGGTCGTGTCGTGTCGTGTCGTTGGCATGTCATGTCAATTGGTTAGTTTCTTTTTAAGGACAGTGGGTGAAGTTGGGCTGATTGTTGGTACGGGTGTTGTCGTTGTCGTTGTTGTTTTTGTTAGTTCACATTTATATATGGCTTTTTATATCCATTATCGAGTCAAGGACACATCAATTCGTTAACTTTTCATATCGGCCAGACGGCCAGGGGGCATTTGTTGGCAAAGGGAGATTTGGTTGTCAGATCCGTCTTGGAAAGTTGCCAGATTGTACACTCTGTAAGCTGATGGAGGCCGGGACAATCGGACCGGAGGCAGAGTCGATGAGCGTTTTCCGACGCTTGTGCTCGTAGACGGAACCCTCACCACGGCTATCGGAGCGAGGAATCTCTTCTACATCGTCTTCGTCACGGGAACGTTTGCTTGAGCTGTTCATTGATGAAGAGTAGCTTGGTGTGCTAGCGGAGGCGGAGTAGGCATCTGGGTAAGTTGCAGTGCCGGAATTGTTGGCGGGTGAGTTGCGGGTGTCACTCATTACACTGTAGACGCTGCTGGGGGCTCCTGATCGAGGGGTATACGTTGATGGCCAGGGTCCCGAGGAACGCTTGTCTGCTCCGTTCTGGTGAGGTGGAGGAGCGGCCATCTCAGAAGGGAGAGGCGTATGTTCACTGGGCATAGAGCCAACGGCCTGGGTAGACGGGTAGGCAGGGTATGAAGCACGATTGGAATTGTAATTACCATTTGAATCGTTGATATACTCGCCGTCAGTGCCTTGGTGCTGTTCTGTGGACTCCGGTTCATTGGTGTTAGCCCCATTCGATCCGTTTACCTGGCCGTTTCCCTGGCTGGAGATGCTCTGTTGAGATACAGGTTGGTGAGAGGCGTAGTGTGACTGCGGAGCTGGGGCTGAGGAGTAGTAGGCTTTGGAATCACTGTAGGCAGACTGGCCCTGGTAGGCTTGCATGGCAGACATGTTTGCACCTGGTGGAGTCGTGGCAGGGGTGGTTGGCATTGACCTAGTGCCATTCATTCCAGACTCTAGTGGGAGTGGCTGAGAGCTCTGAACACCGTTGGACATATTCTGACCGTTCCACTCGTACGACCCGGGTTGATTGGGCATGCCTACGAGACTAGAGGCGCTGGTGGGAGGTGTGGGAAAAGTGTGAGCGCGGTCTAGCGGAGGACGGCCAGGCATGGGATGCGGCATTGTAGCGAGTGAAGATGGCTGAGACATATGCGTAGTTGTTGGATTCTGCATCGAGTGGTGATGGTGAAGTGGTGGAGGGTGTGCTCCGGGTCCAGGGCGCCCCAATGGCTGGCTGCTCTCGATCCGTCTTCGATCCGAAGCTGTGACGATAGCATTGGCGCGATTTTCGTTCACTGGATGGTAGAGTAGACTTCCAATGGCGTGAACGAAGAGTGGATAGAGCTGATCGGTAATCTTCTCCTTGTTGGCAAAGTCAAGTGCACGCTCAAACGGTATCCTACTGGACGTTAATTCTGGGTAATCTTGAACAGGAACAGTAACGATTCAACGTACCAGACACCCTTCAGATGCATGGGGCCAATCTTCACAACATGTCGAATCTTTTCACTCTTGAGAATACCGTCTCTCCTGCCTCTGGTCATTCCAGCAACGTTTAACAGTTTTGTACCGTTGATCATATGGTTGTCTATTTAAAAGTTAGATTATATAAGGAGAAGCGGGTTTCGATTGGAGAGCTGATGACTGACCCTCTCTTCGAGCAACACAGACGCCCTTGGCCTCAACCTGGAAGCAGAGGCTGCCTTCATCTTCCCACAGCGTGGCGGTGACTCGAGGCTTCACTCCTGGCGGTGCTATCTGTCCAGTAGTGTCGTATGGAGTCTGGGACGAGTAAGGTTGGACCTGACTCGCGGAGTTTGGTACGTAGCCGTGAGAGTTTGGAGCCGTGGAGTTTAATGCTAGAACCATTAACCGATGTTCAAATGTTTACACCCCAAAACAAATGGGGGGAGTGTTCTATATGAGATGGAGAAAACTTTTTTAACTTACGAGGGAGAGGCAAAATCTGAGTTGGTCCCTGGCCGTTCAAGGGGTTTGGTACTGGCTGGTTGCTGGGGGGCGAGGTGATGCCATTCGAGTAGCCGTACTGTGGCGGATAGTTATGCGAAGGGGCATATGCGGTAGGCCCCGGCTGCAGCAACGATGGCTGCTGGTACTGCGGATAGTGCGAGATGCTGTTCTCTGTCGGCGTTCCCTGCGAGGTGTACGGCTGCGAGGAGGCCAAATGCGACGACTGCACATCCATGTACGGCTGTGTCTGGTTCATGCTTCCAGCAGCGACTCCGACTCCGACACCAACGCCTGCTCCGACACCTACACCGATGCTGACACCCACGCCGTCCGCAGCAGAGATGGAGGGAGGGCTCTTGGCCTCGCAGCTGGCCTGGGAGTAGCTCGAGAGGCTAACGGCCGAGTCCTGCTGGGAGGAGACAGCGGTCGACGGGGACGAAGACGGGGAAGAGGCGGACGAGACGGCCGGGGCAAAGGAGAGCGCTGGCAGCTTGTCGCCTGAGAAGAGCGGCCTCTCGCTGGCGTGGTGGTTGTACCAGGGAAGATCCAAGGCGCTCCGGGTTTGAACCTGGGAAATCGACGGCAGCTCCAGCTTTTCAGACTGAGGGGGACGTTCGGGTAAAGACGAGTAGTAGTAGTAGTAGTAGCAGACAGCCAGGGGAATCGACTGTCAATTGGCCTTATCTTCCCTCGCACTCTCTTCACTTCACTTTTTCTCTTCTTCGTGCGGCTGCGGGTGGTGTGTGAGGTTGATATCAAAGAAGCTATGCTGCAGCTGTATGGGCAAACCCGAAAGAACGCAAGCAAACAGATCTAAGCAAAATGGACAGACAGACAGTAAATAGTCGTTAACGTGAACTCGTAACGTCGTAGAAGTCACTCTTCTTCGTCTTCTCCGGGGCTCTCTCCTTTTTGATGTATATATCTCCTTGCTTATAGTGCTGGTGGTGCTGGTTATGCTGCTGGTTGCGTGAGATGCTAAGTCTATCTCAACGCCCAACGAGATCTATACGCGAGTCAGCGAGGCCACCGGGAGACGATGTGTATGCATAGGAAGATGGAGCAGACGAAGACGAGGACAGAGAGGGAGAAGAGAAGGCAAACCCGACTCTTAGAGCAGAAGCAAGCAACGCAAGCAAGACTGCAGAGACAGGGTCATGGACTCGTAAATAGAACAGCCGCAGCAGCACAACGCATGCAAGGACTTGATTTAAGCAAGCAACAAAAAAGGACGAGAAGAAGGAAAACAGACTCAAAGCAGAGGGAGGAGAGGAATAAAGAGGAAGATAGATAGCAGGAGGAGGAGGAGGAGGAGAAGAAGAGGAAGAGGGAGTGGAAGAAGCAAGCAAGGTGAAGTTCAAGTAAGTCTCAACTGGTGGAGAATCGCATTACTTGCTTTGCTTTTAGGCGCTTCTTTTGCTTCTTTTTCTCTTTCTCTGTATCTCTCTCTCTCTCTCTCTTACTCTATCTCTCGTTGCTGGTGTTGATACTGGTGTTGATGCTGCTGGTGATGCTGCTGCCAGTGTCTATCAGGGCTGGTCAGGGGGTGGAGAAGGTGGTGATTCTTTTGCTGCTGCTGCTGCTGCTCTTCTGCTTCTTCCTCTCTGGCGTCTTTTTTTCCTTTTTCTTTGCTTTTTCGTCTTTTTTTTTTTTTTATTTTTTGCTTCTTCCACGGCGTATCATTCATTCGATACCCTTGGGATCCGCCCGTCTGTCCGTACGTAACGAAGACAACTAGCTTACCTTTACTTCTTTTTCTTATTTTTGCAAGTTTGCAGAGGCGGGCCTCTCCTTCGTCTGCCTCTTCCGCTGCCTCTTCTTCGTCCTCGCGCTGCTGGGGGTGGCTGGGGGTCGTGCAAGCAGATTGGCTGGTCTGGTCTGGCTGGCCTAGGGGGAGGAGGGCAGGGAGGTTGCTTTTTGGTAGAGACGAGACGCTGACAAGCAGGACGACGACGATGATGTTGACGATGATGAAGCAGGATTTTAAAGACGGAAGATAAGTGCATGTTATATTGCTATTCTTATATACAGTCAGTCGCTGTTGGTTGACGGGCAGCCCAGGTATAGAGTACAGCCGGTTTCCAGTCATGC